ATCTGTTCGGACGTGAAGGGCTTCGAGAGATGCTTCAAGCTGCAGTGTCATGTACTGGACACAAGTGAGAAGTGTACGGGAAATCGCCTTGGAAGCCAGGCCTCAATTGCAAAAATGTCGTCACTCCGCGCTGCCAATCAGAGAGTACCTTCCTATTTGGCATTCCAAAAAAGAATCGGATAAACCAAAAAAAGTCCATGTGTATGTTGGCCATTAACTGTTCAAACCACACCATCCCCTGTATCCTGCCCTACTGTACACAGCCGCCTCTTTGTGGCCAGGACCAGCCCTCTCCTTGCGGTGCAATGGCCTTGGCAAAGGGGCATTCAGGCCTGTCGTTTGGGAGCGGTTGAGGCATCCAGCTTCTTGTATTTCAACAAGTTGTCAGCTCCCTCTGTCCTGCCCTCCCCCACCCGGTCCTCGCAAGCCCTTCCAAGCCGAGACCAACACTGGAATGATGAGTGTTCGCAGCTGTTCCTGCCATTCAGGAAAGGAGAGCTCCGAGAGTTTCTGCACAGAGGGGGCTTGCAACTCAAGCCTGCAGGTTCTCGTGGCTTGAGGTCTTAAAGATTAAAGGGAATCTGCGGCGGAGTCAATTTGCTTCTGCAAGCTCCCAGTGGGCTCCTGGTAGACCATCTGAACCTTGCCAGGGGATTGACTGGCTGGAACCACTTGCAGACTGCTGCTCGCTCGACTGTAACAGCTCTTCATGCGGATACTACCTTGATGTGAGCACATGAAGCACTGCTGAACCCTTACTCGGCCCCGTGCTCGAGGAACTCAATCGTTACAATGATCATCGGAAGGTTTCGAGATGTGAGGTGGGATTACATGCACACCTCAACTCTGATTGCTGCTAGGAGCTGGCACACCCGCAGCAAAGATGTCCGGATCTACGTGCAACTCTACCTCACGAAGGAAAGCCGGCTGTTCGGCAGCTGGGTTCAGTAATTTAGGGGTCTGAAACTAAGCACAACCAGTGCATGATTACGGCGCTAAGCTCAATCAAGCGATTCTTCAGGTCAACCTGAGGTAGCTTCTGCTCCCCGTTTGCAACTCATGTCTCTAGTTGCTTTGCACAAGCGTGGCTCATCTTGTCACTTAATTACACGGGATTGGTGAGACCACCAACGATGAAGCTCTATCTGTGCCGCGGTGCTCGATATCTCGACTTCTGCTGTGGAACCTCAGGCATCAAGTGCGAGGAAAGCACGAGACATCCTTCCAGTTTGTGCCTTGAGAAACTTCTTGTACTCGCGTTGGGGCCTATGGGGGCTACGCGGAGTCGTTGTGCGCCCTGTGCCCACCAGGACACTCTCACTGACGTGGTCTACGCGGTGTGGATAAGACAACCTACATGTGCCAACACCATGCTCAAGAATCATGAAGACTAGGCTTTGCAGACCTGCAGCTGAATTATTATGGCTTCCCTCACATCCCCAGAACTCCTATCCTGTGCTCGAGCCGCACAACTTGAACACACATCCTAATGCACAGCTTCCTGCTGAATCTCTTCCTTGATCCGCAGCAGCTTCTCTAACATCAGAATTGCAGCAACAACCTCAAGCCCCAAACTGAGCAAAGTCTTAACCTGCCCGTGCCAGCATGTCTTAGTAAAATGACCTCATTTTTCACCCCTACATCCGAAGCAACAGTCCTGGCCTTTGGAGGCGGAAGCCTCGGTGAAGACTTATACTTGCATGCACATGGGCGTTTTGATCACAAGGGCTTGCTTCTCATTGTAAGCATTCCATCGTGTTTGCGAAGGCAAGGGCGGTGGTCAGTTGCATAAATAGCCATTGTTGAATAACTTCATGAGGAGATTCTGCGAAGCTGTTCCTGTCTTGTGCTTCACATGCCCAACAACCTTTGTCATAGAATCTGCTTGCCATTCTGGACTGTGTATCAAGCGAAGGCTTTCGAACCTCCGTTTGTCAGTCTTCGACCTCTCAAATCTCAGGCCGAGCCCTGGCACTGAAATGTGAGATCCTCCATACCCTAAACCCACTCGGCTAAAATGAAAGCCAAGATGCGTCTCCAGGCGGTGTTCCAGCTGCCGAAGCGCGCTCGCTGCACGCTCAGAGAGGTCTGCAGCCTCCAAACCCGACTCTCTAAGGTTTGCGGGCTTCAGAGTCTTGGCAAGCCACAATCCAAAAGCATACAGAAAACTCCGGGAATCAAAAGTGAGGAAACAGTGAGAATATCTGTTGTGCCCACGTCTGATCTGGAAGGCGGCAGTGAACAACCAAGGGAGGAGGAAACCTGCTAGGAGTGGCCATCACCAAACCAACGAAGTACCTGCGAGCCTTAAGCTTCTTGCCCCACTTGCCCAGACCTGGACCTAACTTACATTACAACATTAAATTCCAGTTTTCGCAGCTTGGCCACCCCCGGCGCTGCACCAAAGATGTGGACTGATCGGTCCGCTGCGTGGCCTCAGCTGGGGCTTCGCGTGAAGCTCTTCCCCGATGCCCCTCTGAAGAGGGAAAGTCCAATTCAAAGTGGAAATGCGATCATGACAACAAACAATTACAGTAGCTGCTAGCTGCTCTCTGAAGTGTTTCAATGCACCACACTGCGGAGCCACGCATCTACTATTCAACGAGCAACGGGTAACCCAACAGCAACATCGTGGCCTCGTGAACTACTGGAGACAGCCTGCAAACCTACCATCTGCACACGCTTGAAAAGTGCATCTTGAATCACAACGCCAATCAATTTCACCCAAAGGGATATCCCCAAACAATAAAGCTCCGTGGTCCAAGCGTGCTGCAAACCGAGAACCCAAGTCTTCCTGCCAGCCTTAAGGCTATGTGACCTTGCTCGTCAAAGGAACGGGTGCAGCGAAGACCTACTGCACGCAGCATGGCGAAAGCGCCATAGCTACTGATGAAAGGCCCGCACTCCTCAGGCAGCTAGCTGATGAGGCATCGTAGATTGGGGAGGATGTCCGATGTGGTTTCTGCACAAGCTACATTCTTTGGGGGCCATGTAGGGATTCTACATGCATGGACTGTGAACAACAATAATGATTTGCCAGTATCCCAATGCAGTGTACAAAGGTGTTAAGAATGAATGCAGGCCCAATTGAATTCCTGGATTGAAGTCGGCAATATCAACTGGTGCGCTAAGACCGCTAACAGCTTCTGGCCGTTTTGGATCACTGCGCTTCCACGAAGGAGGACGAGAGAGGGAACTTGATTACCCACCGCTTGGGATCCTGTGGGTCCAAAATTGATGCCTGGCTCGGCATGCCAAAACCAGAGACTGAGCACAAACTCCCAGCTCCGAGGTCCTAGATCCTTGTGGACAAGCGCACAAAAACAACGACAGCATGCCGGAGCAACTCGTCTTGCATCTGAAGCAGCATTTCCAAGGTGCTGATTCAAAAGCCCTTGCTGAGGCGGAGGGCATGTCAGGATGATCGATGCCCTGAAAATTAAAGGACAAAATCCATCTGCAACAAAACATCTTGGACCATGCACGAAAAGTGATGGTTGCTGCGAAATAACTCATACCCACTCTTTGCCCAGCACAATATCCAAACCTGACAACTCAGGCCCTGTCTCTGCTGGTGAGGACGATCTGCAGCCCAGAGAGCTCCGAGCCTGCATTCGGAAAGTTGCGGGAACCCTCCTCATGCTCTTCAGGAGTTCTCACTACTCAGGTTGAAACCCAAACCACAAAAAAGACATAACATTCAACTGGACCATCAGTTAAAGTAAACTTGCAAAGGCTATTGACCCAGTTTGGTTCTACACGCTGTACTTTATGCAACATAGCGGCAGCAATAGCTGGTAGGATAGATGAGGTAACTTAGCAAGCCGTGTTAATAGCATCTTCTGCATGCGCATTTGCACTGCAGGATCTCACCACATTCCACCAACACGAGTAGCCCCATGGAAGCTGTTGCGGAGATCTGGGGCGCAGGCAATCTCTCACCTCTTGCAAGATGGCGTGCATCCTCAGAGCGTCATGTTGGTCTGCCTACACCCTTCGAGAAAAGGATGTGCAAAGCCTGGTGTCAAAAATTACCCTTTTGGACAGGAATCTGTGTCCCTGCAAGAGCCAACTTGTCTGTTGATACTACAAATACACGAGACTACTGCAGCTTGGAAGTTACACGCACTGCTGGCGCTGCTCGTGCCAAATGAGCTGAAGTGCGGCCGCACTTTTTCCTTCTACCGACATGTAGAGAAGCAGGGTATGAACAGAAGCAGGTGTGCTGGCAAGCGACCCGGTGCTGTATAAAAGTCCGAGAAGCTTACGAGCACTGGCGGTTAAACTATGCCCCGGCTACTGTGCGCGGATCCTGGCTGGATCCCAGCTCCCTGCAGAAGACAAGCCGAAACGCGGGCCACTTAGAGCCAACATCTCGCGGCATAGGCTGTATCTCACATACACACACAAACGCACACTGAAACCTACATAGTCTTTCCTCTCACTTCAATCTACTGGTCTCGGCTTTAATATGCATGCTGCTGCTAAGTCTGTAGCGCACATTCATCCCTGACATGGTGTCAGGCCCCAGCTCAAATTTGCAGCAACATACATACCGACTGATGGGAGCCTTTAGAAATGATTCGAAATTATGATATGCACTTGTCCTTGGTGAGACGCCTTCGTCTGGGAAGATAGTCAACAAGCTTGATTTATTTGTGCAAGAGGAACTGAGCGGCACCCTCCGAAAAACTTTCTCAACAACCAATAACTGTCTGAGTTTCATTAGTAACGCACAAGAACAGGACTGTGGACATGATGTCTTTGCGTATCAGGACACAAAGGGCGGGTCCGTCCGAGCCAAGCAGCTCGGACACGGTGGGCCGCTAAATCAGTTCATGAAAGTAAGCGAGAATTGTGATCGGAGAATAGTTTCTAGCAGACACTAGGCCTAGTCAAGCAAGCTGCGACTTGCGCAGCTCAAGTCCAAACCTAACGCGCTTTGGGCTCTGTTTGAGACTGCTGTACAACTGGCTGGAGATGGCCGCATGCTCAGGGCTTCAGGAGCCAAAAGTCACGGACACGCCGACGTGCTTGATGACGGCAGCCAAGTATCCGCAAGGATTGCGCGGGAGGCCGTTCACGCGCCCGCGAGCCTGATGACTGGGAGGCATTGTGGCACTGATCTGCTTACAGGTGCAAGCTGCGCTCTGCACTACACCCTGTAGTCAGTAGTGTTGCAGGCCTTGTTCAAAGTCTCCTTGAAGGAAACGGTCGCAAACGAAGGCTCTGAGTTGTCCTTCGGCCAAACCTCCCGAGTTGAGCTTACTCTGACTAGAGATCTGGTTTGCATTTGCCACGTGCATACACGCAAAATCCCCTGGCAAAGGCCAAGCCACTGTGAAGCTCACAGTCTGCTGCGTCAAGTCAGCGTTCACCTACCGTGCAGGAATGCAAGGGTCTCTGGAGTCTCAAGCTTCGGTACTCTTCCGGGTAGGCAGGGAGATTCGGAATGCAAGTTCAGTTCTCTGATTCTTACAATTGGTATGCCCAATCCTATTCGCCTTTGAGCATTCAACCGGACATCTCCCAAGCCACAACAGGAGAAGCACTTGGAGCCCTCCACACCTGCTGCGGCCTGCAGTCCTACATCCCACGCCTCCAGCCAGTCACCCACTTCCAGGCACTTCACCCTCTGCGGGCATCGCTCCACCTAGCGAATGGGAGAGCTTCTTGCAGATTCGGGGTCGGAAAGCTTGAAGATTCATCAGGTTTGCGGCCTACATTAGGCATGAATACGTTGGAGCGGCGTGTGAGGAGGTTTGCGTGTCTAGTCGCATCAGGACACACGAGGACTACGGTACCAAGTGGACCCAAATCAGCCCTCATCGCCCTTAATGGTGCCTTGCGCACTCTATCTTTTGTAGACCCCGACAGCATTCAGGTGTGCATGCCTCGTCGTAGACGCGAATGCAAATCCTGCCAGTCCTGTTGGCAAAGATCGAGACGATCTTCCTTGGCTAACGATGTAAAGAATTAAACGGGACTGCATTCGTCTAACGTTTTGCTGCTTCGTGTTGTTCACTGAGGATCTCTAAGGCATCGTAGTAGAAAGGCATAAACTACGAGGCAGGCCGATCAGCTGATGGTCCAATCGGGCTCAGCGGCTGATGTGGTCTTAGGAAAAGAACTTTGCCACCTAACGCTGAGTTTGTACCGTGCTCCCCGCGGACTCTTTGACCTGTCCATGGAACCTACATCCTTTCTTTATGTCATGCACTGAAAGCAACTCAAGCCTCAACATCTCCCAATGTCTTGGAGTCTTAGACGTCCAACCGCGCACCCACTTAACAAAAAAGGGGCTGAAGCCCCGGTTCCAAAAGCCCTTCAAAGTCCAGCGTCTGAATGTTCTTGGTGCAGGGCAGGTCCGAGGAGAGGATGAAGCCGACGCCATCAGCACTGCAGAGTTCACCGTCGGTGAACCTGGGGCTGTCGGGAACTTTCAGCCGTGAAGTCGGATATTGGGTTGGGGGTTGGATGTTTTGAGCTTGGGACCTTACCGGGGCGTATCCGGAATTAAACCTGGAGCCCAAAGATGAGCTGTGCTGCTTAAGGGAAGACCGCTCTTCAAACCCAAAAATGTAGCTTTCGCAGGGCCAGGAGCTGCACTGCGTAGCGCACCTTGCCATGGAAGTGAACCTTTGCAGAAAGCTTGGTTGCTGGTCAAGGTCAGAGACATTGAGAACAGGATTGAAGTCCTGTTGACACACCGGACCTTTGCAAGCATCAGCTTGGGAAAGTGTAGTCATGCGTCGCCATGCCCCACCCCAGCAGGCCTTGTTCTCGCAGACAATGCTGAGCCGGCCCTTGTTGTGCTTCTTCGTGAATGTGCGGGCGTCGTCGTCCAAAACCTTAGCTTCTTCAATGCAAAGCTGCTTGCTCCCCTCTCCTTGCTGCTTCTGTGGCTCGCAAAGCAATAAGCCTGCATTATGATGAACTATGGTAGCCAAGGAGCTCCCATGGTGGTGTTCTTCTGGTGGAAGCGGTGCGACCTTCCGAAAGGGGGTCCTGCCAGCAGAGCCCCTGACAGCTGGAGCGGTCGAGCAAGCGGCTCCTCCTCTTTCCTTAGCCAAATCAGGACATCCTACATTTCTACAGATTTCTAGGCATGATTTCCTGACATGCTACTTCTCGAGCTCAAACACCCTTTACTGCATCAGTTCTCCTTTAAACCAAACATGCGTCTCCAAGAAAAATGCTAAGAGCAAACCAGCGTCTCCTCTGCAGGAGGAACGGTCCTGAGCATGGCTGGAGTGTTGGCGGCGAGCGACTGCAGCGGGAAGTGCGGCATGGCAGCCATAGCCACTGGCAGCATCCCCATGCCCATGCCGAGAGGCATGTACTGCATGGCAGGCAAAGCCACCATCATCCCCTGCTGAACTTGGGGCTGTGCTGGGGGCTGCATCTGAGGCTGCACTGGCGGCTGAGCTGGGTTCACAACTTGCATTGGAACGGCCATGCGCTGAGGAACCGCAACTGGCGGAGGGGCCTGTACCTGAGGGGCCTGCACCACCTGAGGGGCCTGCACCACCGGCATAGGAGGAGGGAGGTCAGCGATGTCTGCGACATCACTGCCAACCGAAGAGAAGCTGGTACGATCAACCTTGCCCTTGGTGGAGGCTGGGGAAGAATCCTCTGGGATCTCTTCTTCTAAATCCGCAGAGGTGGCAGCGGTGCTCCAGGACCACTTGTCCAAGGGACCTCCACCGGTCATCTTGACATCTTCCGTCTTTTTCTGCGGAGTTGGGCGCCAGGTCGGGAAATTGTCTTCATCATCTGTTGTGATGTCAGCCCAGAGCTGGCGATCTGAGCTCCGCAGCTCGGGGCTCATCGGAGGCTTAGGAGCAGCCTTCTCCTTCAGTGAGAAGGAGTTAGCAAAGCTGCCCTGGCGACGGCGGGCGGCCGCAGCCACTGCCTTCTGGTGGCGAGGAGCCAAGATCTGGTCCTCCGCGCCATCAGAATCCGAAAGCGGGCCCAGGATGTCGAGGTCATCAGCAGGTCGGCAGAAAGCTTTGCGCTCCATTGTTGCAAGAATGAAGGAGTTCGAGGCGTGCCTTCACGGGTCGAGCTCGAGAAACAAAAACCTGAAGGATAACAGCGTTCAAGCTGAACTATGCCCTTCTCAGAGGATCAAAATTCACAAGATACCACTGACGCAGAAAAGCAGATTCCAACAGCTTGCAGCCACCCATCAGCTACGCAGCTACGCACTGGTACGTTACAACATGCTGCAACTTTTGCCGGACCCTTTCCGAGGCCCCGTGCTGGGCCAGCACATCCTCGCTAGCCTTGCCATCCTCTCGGGACGGCTTCTGTTTTCATCCTTTTGTTCGACTTGCCTTCTTTCAAGAATGACCGACTATCTGCAAACGGATAACATAAGCCCTGAATCTAGGGAGGCATGCACTCTGACCCAAGGAAACGCAAACTTGTTGTGTGTGAAAGGATGCATCAGATCCTCAACTCTAACAGGTTCCAAATTCTGGCACGCCTGAATGGCCCGACATGCCGGCCCAAACATGAACTAGCAAAGCGCCGTACAAATTGCAGGCAGTCCTTTAGTCTCTGAGCTGCGTCTTCTATGGGGTCGCAGCTCTCGTCCACTACCTGCTGCAGTTTCCGGGCTGGGGCATCCGAGGCTAAACATCTAGCAGGGGTCCTTCTCGCAGGAAGTGCTGGTCTGATTTCGAGTTTCAGGATTGAAGTTTCAGTAGTCTATAATAAGGGTCATACTAAGGGCTATATGTAGTTATAGTCATAATATGAATACCATCCAACTGTTAATGGGTGGGGGCAGTTTCGAGGCATGCAAGACCCAAACCCTTAACCCAATACCGTTGAGCCTAACCTCAAGGAATCTGGCGTTGTGCCCCTGAGGTTGTACCCCTAAAAGGCTTTCCTAATATGACCCCGTTTATATGAACCAATGTAGTCCTCTAGAGTTCCCAGAAGGCATCCCAAACCCAGCTGTGGGCTTAGAATTTAGGAGTTGGACAGTGTGGTTTAGGATTCACGGCTTAATTACGGGTCACCCTCCCCAAAATTAACATAGAAACCCCCGCAGTGCCCCCCATACTGAGCACTTGCCAGTGCCTGCTCCAGTGCCGTCTTGTGCCAGATGGAAAGGTGTGGGACTGGCTGGAAACTTGGTGTTTTTTTACACATACGACTGGGGTCCCCAACAAAAAGGTACTCCCATTTATGGGAAACCTCCACACTGTGGAAAGAGCTGTCAAAAATGCGAAGCCTCAAGCTCGTTGATGAAACCGCTCCACGCACCTGGAAAGACTTTGAGACGACTTGGCTTCCAAGCTTCAAGGTTTGCACGTTGTCACACAAGCCGGCTGGCAGCACTTTCTGTAGCACTGATCGTAGATCATGACGTCTTCATCTCACTCATGAGATTTTGTTGACACTTGCAAGGTTCTGATGGGGAGGTTAACGAGGGAAGTATGCTTCAGATTCTTGCCTGGCCTTTGCAAACCAAAGGTTAGCGGCTAGGAGCTGGCTCGCATGGCTCTGAGAAGACAAAGTTTCATGCACACGTACATGCCGTACTGACTCCAGACCCCGCACAGTTTCGACGTCCAAGAAGTGCAGTTGCCAAGCACAAAGACACTGACACGTCAATGAAATTAAGCCCCAGGATTAACCGCACACAAGCATTCTACGACTAAGTGCGCTCAATGATGATAATACAACCCCACCTAGATGAGGGAAGCCTTCGGAACTGCATGTCTCAAACCAGCCCGAACTGCATACAAAGCAACGAAACATACATAGGACATCCGCTTTTTCAAACCTTAATTCGGCATGACAACCATGGACTCCTCACATCTACCAAACTACTGGAAACAGTCACGGACATAAGCTCCGCCTTCTTTGATGAGTACGCGTACCTGTTGCGGCTCAGTGTCAACAGAACTGACGGAACCCTCGTGTTGTTGATGTAAGAGGCGAAAGCTAGGGAAGCAATCAGAGTCTAAGCTTGGGGGGCATATCCACCCGATTGCAGTCCTCTTACATATTCTTACAGATGCTGTGCCAGTACCATCCTCAGGGAAAACTCATGCAAGCACATGCGTAGCATTGCTTCTTCTACGCGTGCGCGCGCTCCTTCAAAAACTCCCCGGCTCTCTCTGCATGGAAGGCCGGTTTCTTGATGTAATTTAAGTTTTCTGGGACTGCTGTCGATTACCAAGCATTGCTATCATTCTTACCCGTACTGCTCTGAAAGAACTGTCAATGCAGGTTGTCTCAGGGATCAGAGCTCGGAGCTAGCAAGGTGAACCCAAAATCTTTCGATACTGACCCAAACCTATGACTTGAGGAACTCCACAACACCTGGAAGTGCCAAATCCGCAAGGAAACACTACAATGATCACCAGAACGTAAGCCAATAAGGATTTGCAAATCCGCACCTGGCAGCCGGTGACAGTGACAACGGTGCCCGTGCCATCAACCTGACGGACATTTCACGGCCCGTCAGGAGTTTCAGCTTCAAATGCTCATCGCCGTCAAGAAGACGATCCTCCGCAAGGACAGACAATCTGTCCGATTCCGATGCAGAATACTCACAAGGTCTACTTAAGAACGTTTTGGAAAGCACAGCAAATGGGAATTGTTCCAACCTGGAGCAGGCCCCACCCTCGCTTGGGCGTCACACCTGCACCTCGACAGAACCAACAGGGCAGCGGTTTGGGCCTACATGTTTCTGTCACGCTTGATGGCCCTGTTCGATTGTTCATTTCCTGCATTTAGTGACCACCCAGGATCAGGTGCATTGAAGAGGGAAAGATGTTGACGGCATTTGAAGGCCACGAGCCACTTCTATTGAAGGAGTACAGAGACTGGGACGTCAGCAGAGCCAACAAAAGACAAGAGCCCGAGACGCGGGCGAATTCGGACCTTCGCAAGCGGTCGAACGAGGTCTGCCGCCTTGGTTGCAGTTGGGCACAATGCCTTGTCACACAAGTGGGAAGCCGAAGGTCAGCTCTGAGTGTCCTGGCAGCGTCCTCAGCAAACACAACTGCCTTGCTGCTGAGGCTCTGGGTCAATTTCCAGCTCATCCTGGGTAACAGCATCTGTGCCCCACAAACTTGCATATCCATCCCCCGAACTCGCTCAAGACAACCAAATCTCGAACTAACGACCAGTCAAGGCAGAGGTCTCTTTGGCAGTGCCAGCTCGACTGCTCCGCGAAGCTCACCCAAGCCTGCGTGTCCTCCTCCTTCAGTACCACACCTCAGCAGGGCTCAGGTCTTGGTTCTTCATTGCCGGCGTCTAAAGATGCTTGTTGAAGTCGTCCTTGCATTTGGTGCCCTAGCGTCTGACAATTGTGTTGGTAAGCTTATCTAGGACACAGCCTTGCTAAGATCCGTGCCGACGCTGCTGTGAGATACCTCGGTTGCTCTGATGGCAGAAGCAGCATCATTCTCGAAGGCTCCATGAAATGAGTTGTGAGAAGCCTTCATGACAAAGTCAGCTTCTCAAACCAGCCAAGCAGCCGCCCCCCACTCAAACTTGGGGTGCTTCACCTGCATTGTGGCTCGAAGATGCTGGGAAGCCGCAACAGTTGCAACAGCTGGGAGAGATGCGGCATGTAACACTTCCTCACATGAGATGCTTGATTTAATGCATTCAATTATTTTGAATCTGCTTCTGCTCTTGTCCTGCGCTGCGTCACGGTTCTGAGGGTCGTACAGCAGACAAAGAAGAAAAAGAGTTGCACGCGAGCTTGAAAAATCATCTCGTAGAACTGTGTACTACCACTTGCCTATGCACTCCTTTGCCACCTTTGCGAATTCTGCACGCGAACAAAATTTCCAAGAGTGGTTGCAGTGTCAGGAAGGCCTCCTGTGGCTGAGGGCTTGTAAGCCATGCTCGGTTTGGGTTGCGCGGGCAAAATCATGAATACGGGCAGGATTGCGGAACCGGATCGGTGAGAACAACTGCATCAAACCCGCTGCAGACTCCAGCTGTCATGTGTTCAGTGGAAACACGCCAGGTTCAAAATCCTCTAGAGCTTTGGAGACTTCTTTCACAGGCCTCTGGCCGCACGCGCACTGCACGGCCCTCGAGGCCGCTGAGCTTTGCACACGCTTCCGCGGCCTAGCTCTGCAAGCTTCCATGTAGTTCTTGCCCTGGGGTAAGTAAAGATTGAAGACATGGCGGGCGCTATTCGCGTTGGATGAAGGGACTTGGAAGAGCTTCGGATAAGAGTCTTCAAATCACATCCTCCCTCAGCTTCCTGTCATAAGTCAGCATAGCCCGTGTCCTGTAAGTTCGTCATGATGAAGCCCTAGATTTTGTGCAGCTGCAAGTTGAAACCCCCCCTGCATGTGCCTCTTCGAGAGAGCCCTCTCCCACAGCTGCAAGAGCCTTTCCAGGAGTCAAACTAGGGGAGTTGAGAGTCAGAAGAATGTCACCTTCTCGCATCAATTCTTGACAACACTGTTTGACTAAAAGTCAAACCTTGCGCTCATCAACTTCGCATGCAGTTTTGTTGCTATGGCAAGCCCAAGCGATGTTAAAACCAAAAGCTCCAAGCTAGCTCCTGAGCCAAGGCCTGCCGTGCCCGCTCCACAGAGAAGCCTTGGTTCACCGTCAGCTCCCGGAGTCGACCTGCCTGGACTTCCTCAGATGAGAAAATGTATGAACGCTATGGCAGCCATGGGGCTTTCAGTCTTTCCGGCCCATACTTCTCTCTAACGCAGGCGGTAAGAATGTTTATTTTTTTGTTGTCTGGTCTTTTTTGTTGTTTGGGCTTTTCGGGTGTTATTTTTTTTGCTGTTTG